AAAAAATGTTTGTTTTCATTAACGTGTAGTTGCGCTCCATCTTCTGCTTCTGTAATAATCAAAGTAATGTCATGTTTTCAAAATAAGGCCCAGGTCAATAGGAACGCGTCTGCCAAGATCAGTTTAAATCATCAAATTCAGCCGCATCTCAGTATCTATATCTAATCGACAGCCGATTTAACACCAATCTCGCCCCCAAAAAAATCTTAAGCTTTTGTTAGGCTTGGTTAAGTTTACTGAAGCTTCCCACCTGTGTATATACATTATGTTTGGTTTGTCCTCTCAGTCACCGACGTACTCCTTATAGATATAACAGTTCGTAGTCATACAATCACAAAGAAAGTTACACGTGATTTCTAGAGTTTACCAGCTACATATACAAGCCGTCTTTGAAATTGTACATTGGCGGCGCTAATGCACATGCTCTGGGAGGTTACATCACATGAATAAAACACATGTTATCTAATGTATATTTAACAACGTGACATTACTTACTTGGACTGACCAAGGTTTACATGGCGAGTGTCATCGATGAAGCAGAAGACGCTTACTCTTCTAGAACACATGGTCTTATTCTCGATATATTTCTTTCACTAGTCGCTGTGTCAATATATAGATTTGTTCATGTTTCATACGGTATATTTTGAGTTTGAATGGTTTGAGTTCTGTTGAAATGTCGGTATTTCTTGTCATATTGATATGTATTTTATTTCAGTTAGATGATCGTCATACAGCATTCCAATAATCCAAAAGAACCAGTACTAGAGACTTAGATATACGTAGCTATACAAACGGTATCTCATTCAAATACTGAAAAGTAAGATATCGTTCACACGAAGTTTCAGTTTGTGTGCCTAATGGAGCGATCCTTGAATAGGTCATAATCAAGAATTATCCCGAAATAGGTTTCCTTCAGCACTTCTTCTAATGCTTCAAATTAGAGTAAATGTCTGTGTTGATTCCAATATCAGATCAAGATGTATGAATTTCGTTGATGTAATCACAAAAACTACACGCTCCATTCTCAGAGTATATCAACACGCACTGGTTCCAGCATTACTTCTTTGCACTTTCGTGTGCTCAAAAAATGGTAGGCATCAGAAATCATGTTATCTATGTAAGATGTAAAACGAATAGAACAGGATCTAACACAGATCCCAGTGGTAGGACCTTACACAGATCCCAGTGGTAGGACCTAATACAGATATCAGTGGTAGGACCTAATACAGATCCCAGTGGTAGGACCTATCACAGATCCCAGTGGTAGGACCTAACACAGATCCCAATGGTGGGACCTAACACAGATCCCAGTGGTAGGACCTAACACAGATCCCAGTGGTAGGACCTAACACAGATCCCAGTGGTAGGACCTAACACAGATCCCAGTGGTAGGACTCAACACAGATCCCAGTGGTAGGACCTAACACAGATCCCAGTGGTAGGACCTAACACAGATCCCACAGTGGGTAGGACCTAACACAGATCCCAGTGGTAGGACCTAACACAGATCCCAGTGGTAGGACCTAACACAGATCCAAGTGGTAGGACCTAACACAGATCCCAGTGGTAGGACCTAATACAGATCCCAGTGGTATGACCTATCACAGATCCCAGTGGTAGGACCTAACACAGATCCCAGTGGTAGGAATTAATACAGATCCCAGTGGTAGGACCTTACACAGATCCCAGTGGTAGGACCTAATACAGATCCCAGTGGTAGGACCTAATACAGATCCCAGTGGTAGGACCTAACACAGATCCCAGTGGTAGGACCTAATACAGATCCCAGTGGTAGGACCTAACACAGATCCCAGTGGTAGGGCCTAACATAGATCCCAGTGGTAGGACCTAACACAGATCCCAGTGGTAGGGCCTAACATAGATCCAAGTGGTAGGGCCTAACATAGATCCCAGTGGTAGGACCTAACACAGATCCCAGTGGTAGGAATTAATACAGATCCCAGTGGTAGGACCTAACACAGATCCCAGTGGTAGGACCTAACACAGATCCCAGTGGTAGGACCTAACACAGATCCCAGTGGTAGGACCTAACACAGATCCCAGTGGTAGGACCTAACACAGATCCCAGTGGTAGGACCTAACACAGATCCCAGTGGTAGGACCTAACACAGATCCCAGTGGTAGGACTCAACACAGATCCCAGTGGTAGGACCTAACACAGATCCCAGTGGTAGGACCTAACACAGATCCCAGTGGTAGGACCTAACACAGATCCCAGTGGTAGGACCTAACACAGATCCCAGTGGTAGGACTCCCAGTGGTACACACAGATCCCAGTGGTAGGACCTAACACAGATCCCAGTGGTAGGACCTAACACAGATCCCAGTGGTAGGACCTAACACAGATCCCAGTGGTAGGACCTAACACAGATCCCAGTGGTAGGACCTAACACAGATCCCAGTGGTAGGACCTCCCAGTGGTAGGACTTAACACAGATCCCAGTGGTAGGACCTAACACAGATCCCAGTGGTAGGACCTAATACAGATCCCAGTGGTAGGACTCAACACAGATCCCAGTGGTAGGACCTAATACAGATCGCAGTGGTAGGACTTAACACAGATTCCAGTGGTAGGACCTAACACAGATCCCAGTGGTAGGACCTAATACAGATCCCAGTGGTAGGACCTAAGTGAGGACCTACAGATCCCAGTGGTAGGACCTAACACAGATCCCAGTGGTAGGACCTAACACAGATCCCAGTGGTAGGACCTAACACAGATCCCAGTGGTAGGACCTAACACAGATCCCAGTGGTAGGACCTAACACAGATCCTAACAGTGGTAGGACCTAACAGATCCCAGATCCCAGTGGTAGGACCTCAACACAACACAGATCCCAGTGGTAGGACCTAACCCACAGATCCCAGTGGTAGGACCTAACACAGATCCCAGTGGTAGGACCTAACACAGATCCCAGTGGTATACACAGATCCCAGTGGTAGGACCTAACACAGATCCCAGTGGTAGGACCTAATACACACAGATCCCAGTGGTAGGACCTAATACAATCAGTGGTAGGACCTAACAGATCCCAGTGGTAGGACCTAACACAGATCCCAGTGGTAGGACCTAACACAGATCCCAGTGGTAGGACCTAATACAGATCCCAGTGGTAGGACTCAACACAGATCCCAGTGGTAGGACCTAACACAGATCCCAGTGGTAGGACCTAACACAGATCCCAGTGGTAGGACCTAATACAGATCCCAGTGGTAGGACCTCAGATCCCAGTGGTAGGACCTAACACAGATCCCAGTGGTAGGACCTAACACAGATCCCAGTGGTAGGACCTAACACAGATCCAAGTGGAAGGACTCAACACAGATCCCAGCGGTAGGACCTAACACAGATCCCAGTGGTAGGACCTAACACAGATCCCAGTGGTAGGACCTAACACAGAACCCAGTGGTAGGATCTAACACAGATCCCAGTGGTAGGACCTAACACAGATCCCAGTGGTAGGACCTAACACAGATCCCAGTGGTAGGACCTAACACAGATCCCAGTGGTAGGACCTAACACAGATCCCAGTGGTAGGACCTAATACAGATCCCAGTGGTAGGACTCAACACAGATCCCAGTGGTAGGACCTAATACAGATCCCAGTGGTAGGACAGATCCCAGTGGTAGGACCTAACACAGATCCCAGTGGTAGAAATTAATACAGATCCCAGTGGTAGGACCTAACACAGATCCCAGTGGTAGGACTCAACACAGATCCCAGTGGTAGGACCTAACACAGATCCCAGTGGTAGGACCTAACACAGATCCCAGTGGTAGGACCTAACACAGATCCCAGTGGTAGGACCTAACACAGATCCCAGTGGTAGGACCTAATACAGATCCCAGTGGTAGGACCTAACACAGATCCCAGTGGTAGGACCTAATACAGATCCCAGTGGTAGGACTTAATACAGATCCCAGTGGTAGGACCTAACACAGATCCCAGTGGTAGGACCTAACACAGATCCAAGTGGTAGGACCTAACACAGATCCCAGTGGTAGGACCTAATACAGATCCCAGTGGTAGGACCTAACACAGATCCCAGTGGTAGGACCTAACACAGATCCCAGTGGTAGGACCTAATACAGATCCCAGTGGTAGGACCTAATACAGATCCCAGTGGTAGGACCTAACACAGATCCCAGTGGTAGGACCTAACACAGATCCCAGTGGTAGGACCTAACACAGATCCCAGTGGTAGGACCTAACACAGATCCCAGTGGTAGGACCTAACACAGATCCCAGTGGTAGGACTTAATACAGATCCCAGTGGTAGGACCTAATACAGATCCGAGTGGTAGGACCTAATACAGATCCCAGTGGTAGGACCTTATACAGATATCAGTGGTAGGACTTAATACAGATCCCAGTGGTAGGATCTAACACATATCCCAGTGGTAGGGCCTAACATAGATCCCAGTGGTAGGACCTAACACAGATCCCAACATAGATCCCAGTGTAGGACCTAACACAGATCCCAGATGGAGGACCTAACACAGATCCCAGCGGTTTGTATTTATAACGATCCCAGTGGTAGGACCTTACACAGATCCCAGTGGTAGGACCTAATACAGATCCCAGTGGTAGGACCTAACACAGATCCCAGTGGTAGGACCTAATACAGATCCCAGTGGTACACCAATGGTTATTGGAAACCAGCTGAGGAAACTAGATGTTCTGATGGTGATTCCTTTACTTAGTCAGAAGATTTTTTTTTAATTCACGAAAACGTAGATCCACCAAGAAGGCCGTTCAGCTCTGTTCAACTTTGTTTTATAAATCCAAACATAAATAACACCTCTGTCTTTATGACATAGGAGTGATGGTTTATAAAGTATAATTTCCGAGAAGCTGTTCCTGTGGTTTTCTCTAACTAAAATATCTCAGTATCAACTCTTAAAGTCTAGAGAAGGTGATGCTGTAATATACAGTAATCAAAACGAATGACTGCAAACAAAGCACTAAAACAAAACATGAAATCAATTGTTTTATTTTTTAAAATATCACAAGTTTTATTACAAAAATATCACATGTATTTTAAAACAGGGATTTGTAGGGTACGAATGGCGACTTTTAAAGTCAATTATATGAATTACGTCATCAAAAGGAAAGCATCTGTTCCTATATCGATGTCATGAATATTCATGAGATGTTTAGTAACATGCAAATATTCTACACTACATCAACATATTGCTGAAATATTCAGCAAATAATCAGATTACCACAGAACACAAATGTCATTACATTCCACACTTTGGTTTATGCTTTAGTTAGGTCCCTAGACCTCTAAACACACTGAACATAATTCTAACAACCGTCCTTCATCAGCCTTTAAAGTCTATGTTCTAACAATCGTCCTTCATCAGCCTTTAAAGTCTATGTTCTAACAATCGTCCTTCATCAGCCTTTAAAGTCTATGTTCTAACAATCGTCCTTCATCAGCCTTTAAAGTCTATGTTCTAACAATCGTCCTTCATCAGCCTTTAAAGTCTATGTTCTAACAATCGTCCTTCATCAGCCTTTAACGTCAAACAAAATAAAAAAAAATATGACTGTTATATCTACACAATTCCACTTACCCTATATTCGTTAATTACCTCGACATTTAAATAAAATTAACTTGTGGTTAATTCAGAATAGTGTAAAACGACAACATTAAACATGTTAGACTCCAGATAGCAGTACTTATACAGTACTACTGACACCTAACTGACAGTGTACTACAGTACAACTGACACCTAACTGGCAGTGTATTGATATCGTACTGATACTATACCGGTACAGTACTACTGACACCTAACTGACAGTGTACTGATATCGTACTGATACTGTACTAGTACAGTACTTCTGACACCTAACTGACAGTGTACTGATATCGTACTGATACTATACTGGTACAGTACTACTGACACCTAACTGACAGTGTACTGATATCGTACTGATACTATACTGGTACAGTACTATTGTCACCTAACTGACAGTGTACTGATATCGTACTGATACTGTACTAGTACAGTACTACTGTCACCTAACTGACAGTGTACTGATATCGTACTGATACTGTACTAGTACAGTACTACTGTCACCTAACTGACAGTGTACTGATATCGTACTGATACTTTACTGGTACAGTACTAATGTCACTTAACTGACAGTGTACTGATATCGTACTGATACTGTACTAGTACAGTACTACTGACACCTAACTGACAGTGTACTGATATCGTACTGATACTGTACTAGTACAGTACTACTGACACCTAACTGACAGTGTACTGATATCTTATTAGTACTGATATCGTACTGATACTATACTGGTACAGTACTACTGTCACCTAACTGACAGTGTACTGATATCGTACTGATACTTTACTGGTACAGTACTACTGACACCTAACTGACAGTGTACTGATATCGTACTGATACTGTGCTAGTACAGTACTACTGACACCTAACTGACAGTGTACTGATATCGTACTGATACTGTACTAGTACAGTACTACTGACACCTAACTGACAGTGTACTGATATCGTACTGATACTTTACTGGTACAGTACTACTGTCACCTAACTGACAGTGTACTGATATCGTACTGATACTATACTGGTACAGTACTACTGACACCTAACTGACAGTGTACTGATATCGTACTGATACTGTACTAGTACAGTACTACTGACACCTAACTGACAGTGTACTGATATCGTACTGAAATGTTACAAGAAAAGATTCCCTACATCAATTATTTTCAGAAGCATTTGACAAGAGTGCATCAAGCCACTGACAACTTGTGTTTGCATTTCGTAACGTCAACAATTGAAGGTGTGCCAAATAGATCGTATAACACTTGTTTGCCGCCAAAACACATCATTTGCCGACACATTTAGTACAACTTCTGTCTACATTATGCCATTGTATATGAAGGGTGTTAATTACGGTCCGAGCACTGAGCAGAAATTTACACATCATTCGTTTTGATTGTTAATTTTTAAATCTGATATCAGCTGTTCATACATAAAGAATATCCTCGATTTCTGTCTGCACCAACAGTTATATTTATCTATGTAAATACACTTGGAATCTATTTATAGATATTTGCCCGTGCGATCATCAGTTAGCACGTGAAGCGTCTTTTCTTCACATTATTTGTCTGAGCTACTACCGACTGATTGAGAAACAACGCCGGTTTTTGTTCTACGAATTAGTAAATACGTTCTCAGGCGTGTCTAGAAACGAAAATGCCAATACAATGTCATCTCCGTGAAAATTGTTTCAGTCTTTCTCTCTGTGTGTTTCTTTTTTAAATCAACTAATTATTGGCCAAACTGATCCAGGCCTAACGCTAAAGGTAAGGTGCAACAACAATTATTCCGGTACGATGTAAAATGCAATTCCAAACGAAGATGGCAGTTTCTGTGCTGTTTACTTTAATTAGTTCATTGTTGAACAGTGTTTCATAGTACCAATTTAAATGTTCCACGCCAAAAAGGTTCGAGTTTTCGTTCCAGACTTTTAAAACATGCCCAATATCGAATGAGCCAATGACAACAAATTAAATAAATAAATTGTATTGCTCTTTTCCACGCCCTGTATCATCTATGTCAAAACTGTACTACTAATATATATCAGAAATAAAACCGAATTTCAACAAAACACCGCTTGATCTCTCTACATGGATCATACATATTTAAATAGAGACACCTATAAAGTTTCCCGTTTTCTGTTGGATTTCGCATTACATTTCAGTTGATAATTCGCAAAATAGTTCAATATTTACAACTCATGATAATTTCGTTCAAAAATTGAAACGATCTTAAAAATACACCATACACGACATTCCGGAAGTAGATACCATATGGTCACACTAAAAAGCAAACTGGAATGTTTTTTCCGGATGAATGAAACCCGGATTTTTTCACATACGGAACAATCACTAATCAAAACAAAAAACAAAAAAATACAATGTTATCTTAACTATTCTACAAAGAGAATTAAATTTTTATGAACACTGTTTGTAATGGCAAAATACATTTGATCAACGAGTGGAAATCAATTCTTATGTTATGATTACAAAAATTCAACTTAAACTTTTTCTTCCGAATTTAAACCATTCTACAGTGATTGGAGTTTTGGTGTTTTCTTAGCACCAAGGGACATAACTTTCTGATTAAACATCAAAAGCATTAAATCAAGTTTTAAAAAAAATGAAACTCCATGTTACGACAGATTTTATCTAAAAGTGCTGTACATTAAGTGAATTTTATGCTTTTAGTATCAACTGTATATGAGAATTACGTGACGACATCTTGCCCCGAAAATAATTTACAACAAATTTCCATGTTCGAACTACCGATATTTCTAGAATATTTGAATACACAAATCGAGAATGAAAAAACTAAAAAAGATGACTAATTGCACTATCAAGAACATCTTGAAATCGTGCTTGTAATGAGCTAATTGATTAATGAATAACTGGTTAAAGCAAGCGATCCAATCAAATCATACATAGTTATGTATTATAATGAACATACATGTGTACATCAATTACATGAACAGTTAAAAGTAAATGGAGAAAATGATATTTGTTCTCTTAATCAAAGGAAAGTGATCATATGAATGAGAATTATAATTACATAATAAGAAAAAAGTGCCTATTGTGTATCATAACGTATTTTCACGAAGCCTGTATTGGCAAAAATGATTCGTAACATATACATGTTGAACACATTCCGACTTCTGAAAACTGTCAGACTTTCCATTCAAACACATTTAAAACGCAAAAGTTTGGGGTGACATAACATGGATGTTAAACAGTTGTTGTATACCGCAATAGTCTTTGATTAAGCTAAATGGCCGAACGCTCTAAAATGAAATGTGTTTCAGGAAAATTTTATCAGTTTTGAGATACAAAATGTCTGATAGCATTATCAGTACTTGTGTTATAGTGGTATAGAACTTGTAATATAATAATAATAATTTGGATTTTGTCATCCGTCACGCTACATGAACCGGCTTCACTAGACGACAGGGATCAGTGATTCAAGTAATGTCAGATTGACATTGTCCTCGACATCAGTAATCTTTTGTATGGTAGATAGGGACCTCTAACGAGAAATAAGAAGTTCGATAATAAGTCAGTAACATTTGGCCACGAGGTGGTAATATTGTCAGTACTCTGGTTCATCTATAGGGGAGATAATTTTTGTTTAATAACCATGCTGTTCGTTATAAATCATTCATCAACTGACCTGACAGCACTCTCAAATACATTTCGACTGATTCCAGCTTTAAAATCGGAAGACAAAATGTCTACTTGAACCACAAACCTGTGGTTATACCCATAGTGTAAACTCCAAGTTAGTGATAAAAGTCTACTTCTGGAATCTGCAGGTATTTTTCTAAAGTTTTTATTTACTGATGATTAAAACTTCAATCTTTGGATTTTTCCCCACTTCAATATCAAAACAAAGAAATTAACTTACATGATAACATATGCCAGGTTGATCAGGACACTTTGAATACGCCGAAATAATTTAATTTGGGCTCGCGCACTATCAATGTGAGGTTGGAGACTTTAACATAGATCTCATCACTTGTCCGCAAATGGAACAAAGCTCCTAGGTAGCTTGTGTATTCGCCGAACTGTTTGTTCTGGCCTATACACTTGGTGATAGAGTTTTGAATCAGCTTTTCCTCTCCGCCATGGGGGTAGATGATGTTATAGCGATAAATGTAATGTGACAGACTATTAGGCGATCCCTGATCTCGGGAATTCCCGTCGTCGAAGAGTTCCAGGAACGAGACTTGGCTGTAGACGTAATAGAGGCCGGTAGATGGTACTACAAGTCTTCCACTGCGGTACATGACGTTGTTGGTGGTAAAAGCGAGATCTGCGTCGTGGATCCAAGAGGAAATTTGAAACTGGGTTGCTGGTACTGAAAGAAAAGAACAAATATGGAGAATTTAATTTGCATGTATGTACCAATCCCTTCTGCAGGATTTATCAAAAGAAAATAAAACAAACTATAACATAATTTTATGATGTCATTCGTCCTTTGTTAAAACATGTTAATAAAAAAAAGACTGCAAGACATAATTTATGATATATCCCAATCCAAAACCTGGTAGAGTAATCTCCCTTACACTGTAAGAATTTTTTTTCATTTACTGTGCATGAGCCATTCCTTCGCATCGTGTCTCTTGTCTCTCTGGTGTCCAACGTGTGTCTGTCCAGGCATCGCTTTCATCCTATCTCTAATCTTCAGATGTCTTTTTTATATGTCTCTTATCTTCATGTGTCTCTCACTTTGATATGTCTATTATATTTGAATTTCTTGTCTTCAAGTGTCCCTCTTCGTCTACAAGTTCCCTTCGTATGTGTCTTGGTTCATATGTCTTATGCGTCTCCCATGTCTTATGCGTCTCCTATGTTTCTCACGTCTCGTCAGCTGTCTTAAAAGGTGTGTTCTTATTTCTACTTCCGGTTTGTATGTAACTTTTGTCTCATTGTGTCTTATAAGTCTATTTATCTTAGATCTTTTTCATTTCTTGTATTTTGATCCGTACCGATTCGAAATCATTTTCGATTTGTTGTAATGATTTTAACTCAGTATTAATTTTTATGCAATGCTGTAACATCTGCTGTCAAAATTGACGAATTATTAATATCAGAAATTGGTAAAAACGCGAAAACTGTACTGTTTTTACGAACTTTAAAATGTACATTAAAGCCAGCTATTAACGAAAGCCTTAGATACAGATGTACGAACCTGTTGACTTGTCCAGTCGGCTAACTGACCCCATCAAGTGAGCTGCCGGTGTCTGTTCCATATCGCTCTGTCCTTCAGTTCTCGGCAGGTTGATGTTACCTGTAAAGAGAAATTCAGACAGGTGATACATTGCAGGTTATACAGGTGAGAAAACATCAAAATCAATATAAATGACAGAAAATGCTTGAAATACAAAGATCACTACATCAAATGTTTCGTCAAAATATTTCTATTTTCCATGTCCTATGTAATTCAAACTATGATGGAGGTCCTACAGTTTCATCAATGTGTAGTACAAAGAACACACGAAAACGTGTGTCACTTTTGCTAGAACTTATAAACATGTGTATTTCTTACCGTGAACAAATTACACTTTATAAATCTTTAAACGCTATTAACAATTTTTCAAAAAGAAAAATCCCCCAACGATGTAAAGTTCACAATCTAGCTTTCCACAATAAGACAAGCACATGTAGTAATCTAACATTTCTATGGTAACGTTACATTCCTGTGGTAACATAACATTTCCGAGGTAATATTACATTTCCGTGGTAACCTTACATTCCCGTGGTAACCTTATATTTCCGTTTTTAGTTCACTTTCATGTGGTAACCTTACATTCCCGTGGTAACCTTACATTCCCGTGGTAATCTTAAATCCCCGAGGTAATCTTACATTCTCGTGGTAACTTTACATTCCCACGGTAACCTTACATTCCCACGGTAACACTACATTCCCATGGTAACTTTACATTCCCACGGTAACCTTACATTCCCAAGGTAACCTTGCATTCCCTAGGTAACCTTACATTCCCACGGTAACCTTACATTTCCACAGTAACCTTACTTTCCCATTGTAACATTACATTCCCATTGTAGCCTTACATTCCCACAGTAACCTTACATTCCCATGGTAACCTTACTTTCCCAAGGTAAGCTTACATTCCCTAGGTATTCCCTAGGTAACCTTATATTCCCACGGTAACCTTACATTCCCATGGTAACCTTACATTCCCAAGGTAACCTTGCATTCCCTAGGTAACCTTACATTCCCACGGTAACCTTACATTCCCATGGTAACCTTACATTCCCAAGGTAACCTTGCATTCCCTAGGTAACCTTACATTCCCACAGTAACCTTACATTCCCAAGGTAACCTTACTAACCATACATCCTCTTGGTTAATTTAAACGTCTAGTGATTTTGGAAACCTATACGATTCGTCTCTAAATTATCGTAAAGAGGCTACTGACGTCGTAAATATACGTAACGTTAACAAAGTTACGTCACGTGCGTATTTAACCGTCAAAGGTAACAATTAAGGCGCACAGGTTTTTGTGTAGGTGGTACTTTCAAATGCATCGACAGTTTTTCAATCGTGGTAAAAAATAAAATCTAATCATCCAATCGCACGTTCACTAGAAATGTTTGAAAACTAAATATTTGATGAATTAAATGATTTCTTTTAAGTTTGATGATCTAACTCTCAGATCGGAAGTAGACTAAATGTGCCTTGAAAATTTTCAGATGAAGAGTTCTCCATTTACCGATCTTGTTATTTTTACATTAAAATCAATGAGGCGGTTGAAGCTTCAATAAAATACCAACATGAAAATGCCATAAACTGCCATAGCGTATCCTGACAGGATACACGTCTTATCAGAACACGCAGGCGTCGTTTGTTCCGACCAGACGAACACACCAAAATCGACATGAATGTGTAAAGAAGGCGATAAAACACACAAGAAAACCTACAATTAACGGATGATTCCTTATCATTTCCTAGCAGAGAATGTTTCCAGACGATCGCCAGCGCGTGCGTAAGGCGTCACGTAACGATGTATATTTCAAACTGAACGATTCATGTGCAACATACACCTCCGTATCTCGTGGAAACTTCGTGTTATTGGACATGTGCAAATAACGGCCAACAAATGAAACCAACGTTATCGGTTACTTGTGCCTTCGTTTAATTGATTGTTGGCAGAGTGTCCAATATATTGGTTTCCTGCCCGCAGATAACGACGAAGTCCTTTTGAGTCCCGTTCACATCGTTAACTTGATAAAAAGGCATAACTTTCATTATCAACATGAAAACATAACAGCGAAACGTGGTGTAACTTCTCCAGTGTTTGATGAAATGCGTATAGTTTGTACAGCGCATGCCCAGTGACCGTTGTCATGGTGTCACGTGGGGCAAACTTCGTTACGGTGTCTCAAAAGAAATATCCGATACGTTATTGTGTACCGCATACACTAATTATCCTGGTATTTGACGGAGAAAACCAAATTTCCTCAGCGTTCATTCAATAAGCGAAGGAAGTGCTTCATTACCGTTGTTTGGTCTTGCTTTGAATGTTTTCAGAAACTTGTAGTCTTTGTGTCCAAGGAAGCCAATGAACCAGTTCGGATCGACGTTTAAACTTTCAGTTGTAAAAGGAATGTAGCTTCGACAATAGAAAACGTAGCAAACTGATTTTGTTCATGTTTTCATGTTACAGTTACCTATATACATTATAACATTACAAGATGAAAGATGGCCATTTTAAAAAATCGCTTTACACCAGTAAAGACTTGGCACTAAAAATTACGGATTAACTGATATAGAAGAAAGCTTTCCCGGATACATGTTGTCTGGTGTACGGAATATAACGTAATTTTTAATTTGCTGACAGTGACAAAGTGTTTCTTTTCAATGTTTTAACTGTTCGAGTCGCTTTTTTCCAATCCCAATGGCGTGCGTGTCACCTACAGAAGCCACCAAGTCAGACACCACCCACAGAAGCCACCGAGTCAGATACCACCCACAGAAACCACCAAGTCAGACACCACCCATAGAAGCCACCGAGTCAGACACTTTACACGTCCGCCTTTACCAAACATATACCATAGCCAAGTCAGACACTTTACACGGCCCGCCATTACCAAACATATACCATAGCCAAGTCAGACACATTACATGGCCCGCCATTACCAAACATATACCATAGCCAAGTCAGGCACTTTACACGGCCCGCGATTGCCAACCATAGCCAAGTCAGACATTTTACACGGCCCGCGATTGCCAAATATATACCATATCCAAGTCAGACACTTAACACGGCCCGCCATTACCAAACATATACCATAGCCAAGTCAGACACTTTACACGGCCCGCGATTGCCAACCATAGCCAAGTCAGACATTTTACACGGCCCGCGATTGCCAAATATATACCATATCCAAGTCAGACACTTAACACGGCCCGCGATTACCAAACATATACCATAGCCAAGTCCACAACCCGGCCGTGTTGCACGATAGCCACTCGTTCTATCGTCAAAGTATCATTAACCGCCGGGTAAAAAATCTATACCACGTGTACATGTATGTAGATTTTCTTCTTCAGCTATTTATCGATTTTATTCTCCAAGCGTTTTAATATGTATCCGCAGCCATCAAGCATTCCGTATTAATCGGAAACACATCGTTTAAACAAGCTACGGTCGCGCATATACATAATTACCAATATGCTGTCTTCGAGCGGCAAGATCAAAGGCAGTAGGCGGCTTTGATGTCAGACACTGGAAAAGGGTTGCATGTTATGCATTTTTACAGGTAAAGGAATCGATTAAAGAAACATAGTGATGTCGTTAAAGAAAGATCGAAATCGATTTTTGCAATTAAGTTAAAACTATCATTAGTTAGCTAAAGATCGGGACTCTAAATCATGACAGAGACCTTGACATTCAAACTAAGTCATAAACATGGGCTGCTACAACAGATAGACGGAGCTCCGTCGAAGTGGTTCATATATACTGATTAATCAAAAGATCTGAAACGAAAAAACTAGTCCGACATTATCTACTTTCACAATCACCTTATCCTGCATCAAACTTGGTGAAATGAGAACAAAGTTGGTCACGTGCTTTGGAGTTCAGTATAAACACATTTAAAATTCGACAAAAGGAAGCCGACGCTGACATCAATTATTATTACTCTATACGCTTGCTTTTCATTAACTTCACATACGCGGATGATGTTTTACGGTAATGTTAAACAAAACACTCCGATGACGCAATACATGAAAATGCGCCACTGTTTTTAGGCACCTAGTATATGGAATTAATAATCCCTAACTTCGGTTCTATTGCCTGTCTTCAATTTCTTTAGAAACGCAACAGTTAATTAGTTTTCGAATGTTCTCATAATTTAAACAATACAGGAATGTGAAGGAAGCGTTGATATTAGAAGGTAAAGGACAATAATATCAAGCGCCTCTACTTGTACGTAATTATTGGAAAAGTACTTAACCTATTCTTCGAAATTGAAAGGGATACTAATTCTATTTCCGATAAGGTACATGTTTCCTCATCCTTGGGATATGTCATGGCAAAAATCGAAGACCAGCGTAAAGCTGATTTGTGTCAAAGACATTTCTTTCTTTATTACCATGTGATTCGTTAATGAACGAGATCAGGGGAATGCTAGTTTTCTTTTCAGATCCGCAAGGTGGCGTGTAAATGTCTTTAAAGTTACTTCCATTTCTATGATTAAGTTTGTGACTTTGTCCGTGTATTTGTCAGGCGAGACAACTCTTGGTGACTATATGGTGTTGTCATGTCCATACAAGTATGGCTTGTTTCAGTATGTACATGTAGTCGATGGAAAAAGTTTTTACAACTGTGTAAAACCTAATCAGGATACAATTTCCTTCAATTCAGAAATATAAAAAACAGATAGATCCAATTTCTGGACTTGACAAGAGGGGTATTTTTTCACATAACACCAGCAAAGAAGACAAAAACGGTAGGTACATGTACGTAAGAAAAGTGCATGATGATATAAACATAAAGACGTGGTATGTTCACGTGTTTGCCGTAACGAGCCCTGCCTTTCACCCAGCTCTGCCAATAGGTTTGACAAGATGTTAAGTGGTGTTGTGGTGAGTTGCACTACAGAAACTGCATTGTGGGATAGGAATTAATTCGTAATGGATTTTCTGGCACAGCAAGACACGATCAACCCAGAAATAATATAATTTTATAATATTACACATGGCTTGTGCCATCAGCCGTGTTCAACTACTGGTATGAGCTGTCGATTTCACGGCACCACTAA